TTTTTTCAATGCAAGAAATGTTGTCTTGCAACCTTTATTTTAACAAGTAAGGAGAGGAAAAATTATCTTCGTGCTGCCAAAATAATCATACCTTACTTGGTACAGGGAATGCCAGCAATGTATACATTGACATACACGGTTCAAAGTTGTTATGCTCCTTAACCGTCTTTGCGAGCAGGGTTTTCAACAAAAGAAGGGGTAGGGGAGTGTTTGGGGGGTGTGGGGTGTGGAGAGGTTACACCACAAGGAAGAACCTTCGTTGGCTGATTTTTTAATGCATTTAATCTCTTAATATGTCCGCACAATACCATCCAACACGAGAAGAGACCTGCATTGCTGCTTCTTAGATGCAGGCACCATACTGCTGACTCCAAGATCCAAATTCAGAGGTTGCAATATAAGTAATGGAGGGAAGGAAGGAGGAATTGCAGTTGCTGATGTCTTTGTTTCGTCTTGCTTACGTCTTCATGTAGGACGGTTTCAGAAAAAAACCAACACAGCATTTCACATTCGTGAAAGTTTCTGTTCCTCTCCAGAGAGGTGTAGATGAAAACTTCACTGACAGAACAGAGGTGTCTTCATTTGGTTTTGGTTTATTATTTATTACAATCCTCACAATGCTATTTCTCACTGTATCTCCATGTCTCCTTCCACCGTGCACAGCCTTGGGAGCAATGCAGATGCAGTCCTGCACGGGGAGGGGACGCCGCGACAGGACACCAACCAGCCGGCACCAGGGGTGTTGAAAAGAAGTGAACCACACAGTGTGGTTGCGGATGACACTGTGTTTTAAATCATGTCGAAAGTTTAGGTGTGATGCCTTAAAAAGTGTAGGTGTTAGGCAGGTAAAGGAAGTGACAAGAAGTAATAAGAGGCCTTAGAAAGTAGAACTTGTTGTGATATAGCACCAGGACCAAAAACTTGTTGTGATATAGCACCTGCGGATGGTGGGAGGCTGCAGGGGTGGTCTCTGCGGGGAGAGACGTGGGGCTGCCAGCACTGCAATGGACCTGCCGCAGGACACGGCTGAGCCCCTGGGCGAGGCTGGTGGTGCCTCTGGGAAGCGTTTTTGAGAAAACACAGGGATAAAAAGAGCGAGGGACCACAGAGGGAACATTGAGGTCAGGGCAAGGAGGAGGAAGGAGGGACCTTCATGGCTACGGCATTCGTCTTCCCAAGCAACCATTCTGCGTGCTGACCCCATCTTTCGTGGTGCTGGCTGGACATCTGCCAGCTGGTGGGAAGCAGTGAAAGCACTTCTGCACATGCGGCTTTTGCTTTCTTGATTGAACTGTTGTTATCTCAGTCCCCAGGTCCTCTCACCACACTTCTGTTTTCTCCCTGTCCCATCGGAAAGGGAAGTGAATGAGCGGCTGGGTGGGTTTGGCTGTTGACCAGGGTCAACCCACCACAGTAACTTACTTCTTGAATTTATCCCAGTACAAAAGAAATAAAAGGCAAATGTGGCGCCACTTTTTAAGGATCTTAAAACTGCAGACCAGAAGCTTGACTATCACAATACGTGTGCTGGTAGAGACCATTACAAACATACAATAGACAAGGTGTTAAGTACAATGGATTGAGGGAGGAGATGAATTTGCTTCTGTGCAAGGAACTCACTCTCAGTAAATAAACTGGAGTTCTCTGAAGGGGTAAATGAGCACATGTATATCAGGCAATTAATGCACACAATTCTGATAGTCTTGCGGATAAGGGAAGTTTTAAGTGGATGTGACCTCCAGCAGCTCTGGGGCTCAGGGATTCCTCCTGCCTGGCCCCCGAAGCCCAGACCGGTCCATCTGAGGTCCTGTGAAGTCCAGGGCTGATGGCCACATCGGCTGATTTCCCCTTAACAGCTTTAACCAGTAGCAAAGCTGAGCCTGTATCTCAGACACACATGTGCACACACACAAGTACACAACACTAACACTGTTAGAGCCCGGTGAGAAGGATCAGGGGCCGGGCTGGATCAGATGAGCGCTTAAACAACATCAGCAACTGCTCACACATGGCCCATCCCCTCCTCTCTGTTCACCCCCCTTCCCCTACATGTTCCTCAACGAGTTTTGCACAGTCCCACAGCCCCCCCTCGAATATCCCAACTCCTCCTGCTCCTCTTTTTACCCCCTTGTTATCCTTTACAAAGCACAGGCTGTCCCCCTCCAAAACTGCACCCCAGAGTTCCTTGATGGCCCATCAATTAGTGGCTGAAGACCTTTGGTCTTTGCCAGTTGCCTCTGTTATTTTATGCGCATCAGGTTTGTGTTTCTGTCGCTTCTTATCCTCTTTTGCATTTAAAGGGTCCTTGATGGGATGGCTGTAATGAAGTGGATGCTCTCACCTTCCACATAGCCATACAGAAGCATCTTAGGGTCTGTGTGAGTAGAAGTGGTTTGATCAGTTTTCTATGATTAGTACTTCAGAATTCACCACACAGAGGAGATGCATGGGGCTTGGGTAGGTAAGAAGAGACCATGTTGATGTGGAAAGGCTATAGCAGAGCTGCTGCTGCTGGAGAAATCTCATTACTTTTCATCTGAATTATCACAACAGGAATGAAAGCAATTAAATATTCATACCTGTGTCAGGTCCTTTCTTTATTGTACCAATAGCACGTACGTGATCTTGGATGCACGCAGCTGAGCTGCAGCTCTCAGCTCTTCACCACAACCTGTCTTCAAGATGAGGTGAAGAGATAGGAGCAGGACTGTACACTGTGGCAATTTACACTACAAAGAATTTATTCTACTCTGTTTAAATGAGTTTATTTGTTGTTAATTGTACGTCTGTATTTTCATGAGGAGTCTTGAGTCTGAGGTAACCAAAAACCAGAGCAGCAAAAACCCCACAAACAAATCAACCAGAAACAGAGTTGTTTGGCTCAAGTTCCTAACCTAGGGACGTGTTGCAAAACAGACCTCACTGCTGAAACACACGAAGAAATGGCATTATGACATTTATATGGCATCATGGAAGAAAAGCGCTCTGATCTTCCTCATTGCTTTTCTTACTAATATTCCTTCTATGAGAGTTATATCAGGCAGCAAAGCTTTTTGTGAAGCTAATGCTTCCTGTCTGGTTGAAGCTAATGTCTTCAGAAGAAGCATTTCCTGTGAGCTGGTATTGTCTTTTCAGAGCGTGGATTTGCTGTGGTTTGTTGATCGTTACAAGACAAAGGAGCCAGATGCAAGCTGAATTGTCTGTAACCCACGCTTTTTTGAATGTGTGCTTCCTGCAAAGGTATACACCAGCTCCAAGCTGGAGGACAGCGTTTAGTTTGATTGGTTATGTTTTAATAAGTTGAATTTCTTAATTTCTTATACTGAAATATAGAAAGGAAGCCTTTCATTGAATTCAGTCCTGCATTCTGTATTTACATTTTTTGATACATATGTGTTTTAAATTAAGAACATCTTGCCCTACAATATGCAGTCAGCTGCAGCAGCACAACGAAGATCTCAGGGGCACAGGGGCAGAATTTAGATCCAGCTTGCTGGGGAGTGTGATCAGGCTGATGTTTGTGTCAGAAATCTGCCCACAAGGAGCCACAGATTTGTAAAACCGTGCTGAAGTTCTTTGTCTGGTCAGTATTCATCCTTTATGTGATTTCTGCTGTCTGCACAATAGATTCTGATCTCGTGAGTTAAAGTGCAAGGTATAATTACTAGGAAGAACGGGACTAGCTTGATTTGCCCCCAGAGAGATGTTTTACATTGCAGTTGCTCATGCTCTGCCTGGCTGAGTTTGGAATGTCAAAAGCCACAGACTCTTAAATTTTCCTATGGAAATGGGTCAGCAGCATCCCGTGGCTCACTCCTGCAGAACTGTCCCTGCAGCTGGCATGGATCCGCCAGCCCCTTGAACCACACGCGGCACAAAGTGGTGTGAGGGAGAAGGAGGAGATCTTTGGGGTGCAGAGGCTGGGAAAAATCTCTTTTAGACCTTACCAACAGCACCACAGAAAGCAACCTAAAGTCTGTTTTAACTTATTAAATCCAAGGAATCCCTTCTGGTAGCCAGAGCTTTGTTTTATTGGAAGGCTTGGCAGGACCTACCAGCCTCTCCAAAGCTGCTGTAGAGGAATCCAGTGTCTGTTCCATTTAGCCTTCATCTTCTTCTCTTTCATACTGAAATCTTACTAATTGTGACAGAATCACAGAATAATTGAGATTGGAAGTCAGCTCTGGTGGTCATCAACGCCCAGTTCAAAGCGGGATCAACTAAAGCAAGTTGCTAAGGACATTGTCCAGTTGGCTTTTGAATGTCTTCAAAAATGGACGCTCTACCACATCACTTGTGAAACCTGTTCCATTTTTTGACCACGCCCACTGTAAATTAAAAAAAAAAAAAAAAAAGAAAAAAAAAAAGAAAAAAAAAGAAAAAAGCTTTGATTGTTAAGATCCCCCTTGAGCCCTGTCTTCTCCAGGCTGAACAGTCCCAGCTCTCACAATCTCTCTGCATATGAAGGACGCTTCAGTCCCTTAATCCTCTTCGTGGCCCTTTGCTACCTGCTTCAGTAAGTCCATATCCTTGTTGCACAGGGGAGCTCAGAACTGGACATAAGACTCGATACACAACCTGACCAGTGCTGAGTAGGCGCGGAAGGATCACCTCCCTTGACCTGCTGGCAGCACTCGGCCTAACACAATCTAGGAGGCTGTTGGCCACCTTTGCCACGAGGGCACATTGTTGGCTCATTTTCAACTTGTCTGTCTGCCAGGAATCCCCAACTTCCCAGACAGCTGACCCCCTCTATGCACTGGTCCCTCACCATGTGTGTGACTTTGCATTTACCTTTATTGAACTTCATGAGGTTCCTCTCCAGCCATTTCTCCAGACTGTCTAGGTATCTCTGAATGTTGGGACAATCACCTGGTGTATCAGTTACTCCTTTCAGTTTTGTATCATCTGAGAACTTACTGAGGATGCATTCTGCCCCATTGTCAAGGTCATTAATGAAGATGTTATACACTACTGCATCCAGTATCAACCCTTGAAGCATGATTCTGCTCACTGACATGCAGCTGGACTTCATGCCACTGGTCACAACCCTCTGGACCCAGCCTTATAGCCAATTTTCAGTCCACCTCACTGTCTACTTGTCCAGCTCCATACTTCATCAACTTGCATGTGAGGAAGTTGCAGGAGACAGTGTCAAAAGACTTACTAAAGTCAACAGAAATAACATCCACAGCTCTCCCCTCATCCGTGGAGCAAGTCACCTCATCACAGAAGGCTATCAGGTAGGTCAGGCATGTTTTTCCCTTTGTAAATCCATGCTGACTACTCCCCAGTCACCTTCTTGCCCGTTGTATGTCTGGAAACGGTTTCTAGGATTAGTTGCTGCATCAGCTTCCCAGGGGCTGATGTCAGGCTGACTGGCCTGTAGTTGCCTGCATCCTCCTTGAAGACAGGAGTCACATTTGCTGTCTTCCAGTCTTCAGGGACTTCTCCTGATCACCATGACCTTTCGAAGGTTATTGAGAGTGGCTTTGCAACGACATCAGCCAGCTCCCACAGCACTTGTGTTATGTCCCATCAGGGCCCATGGCCCTGTGTATGTACATTTCATTTAAAAGCTCCCTAACATGATCCTCCTCCACCAAGGATGTCTACCTTGCACTGGACTTTTTCATAGTTTTTGTAGACCTGAAATTGCTGAAGGCAAGTTCTATCAGCAAAGATACAGACAAACAAGGCACCAAGTCATGGAATGTATCACCCTTTTCTATGTCTTTGTGACCAACTCCACTGAGTATTCAGCAGTGGGCCCACATTTTTACCTAGTTTTTGTCTTGCTGATGTACCCATGGAAACCTTTTTTGTTGCCATTCACATCCCTCATCAGTTTCAAATCCAGGCAAGCTTTGGCTTTCCTAACCCCTTCCCTGCATGTTAGGGGATTCCTCCTGGTTCATCCGACTCTGCTTCAGCCTCTTGCATACTTCCTTTTTATGTTTGAGTTTAGTCAGGAGCTCCTTGCTCATCCATACAGGCCCACTGCCACCTTTCCTTGGTAGCCTACTCACTGGGATGGACCATTCTTGGGTTCAGAGGAGCTGAAAACCCACCAGCTAATCTGAACCTTTCTTCTCTCCAGGACTGTCTGCCATGGGATTCGTGAAAGCAGATTCCTGAGCAGGCCAAAGTCTGCTCTCCTCAAGTCCAGAGTTGTGAGTCTGCTTTTCATTTTTTTTCCCCTTCTTTTCAGGATCCTGAACTCCACCAGCTTGTGGTTACTACAGCCAAGCCTAACGCCAGCTTTCTCATCTTTGACCAGTTCTTGTTCATGTCCTTAAAAATAAACGGAGTAAGAATGAAAAGAAGGAAAATAAATGAAGAAAAGGGATGGAAAATATTTTTATCTTTTGAAATTAAACATATATGTTCCTGGTAACCTGCAAAGTGAAAATAATTATGCAAATGTTCATAGAATTATGTATACAGATTTTGATTAATTCTCAGAATTAACAAAAGAAGTGATTTGTGAAGTTCTCTTCTGTTCTGAAGGTCCTATAATTTCTCTTCTCTATCTGAAACCAAGTCCCAACCTAACTGTAAGGCAGGCATGAGCAATTTTTTTCTACACAGACCAAAGAGTTGGGTGGAAAGACTGATATTGTTGGACAGATCAGAGAAATTGTTTTTGCAGGAAAGGAACTGGCAGTATAAGCCTATGATTTTATAGTGGATTCTACAGATTCAACTGGTTCAGTGTATTCTGTTGCTCAGTGAATGTGACATTATAATTAGCTCAAACAGAATTTTGTGAAACCGTGTCAGGCACAGGTTTTGTCGCTATAACTCTGAAAGGGTAAAGATTTGTGCTGGGGTAAAAGTATGCAAGTTTCCTGTGTGGGTCACCACAATACTTTTTTCTCATCTCTCAGTTGCCCTGTTTCAGTCTGATGGTAATCATCATTTTGTCATCCTGCAGAGTCACATATGGAGACCAGGACAGATGCACCACCTGCTCTGCTATTGCATTTCAGCTTCCTCCTATGGAATTAAGGTAAACGTGTGTGCCCCCCCCCCGGCAATTTTCTTGTCCAAATGCTCAAAGGACTTCTGTTTGTAAATCAGTATGTCATTGATATAGATCAAATACATCTGTATTGCTTTTATTGACGGTGCTTGCAGTGAAAGAGAGAAATGTGTTCTGCAAATTGTCCCACTAGAGTTACCCATGTCTATGCTTTTGCTACATAAGGAAATTTAATCCCTCACCTTTGTCATCTCAGTCAAGCCGAAGTTACTTACTTATATGGGCTGATGTGGAGAACGCTAGGTAACTTCACTTCACTGTGACAGCAAGACCCCCTGCCTAACATTGACCTACCTAGCATCTGTCATAGCAGCAGTTTAATCACAAAAGACAGAGCTTTTCATGAGCTATTGTCATTGCTCAAATGATTTTTTATTTCAGAAAGCTGATTTAGGACACCATTCCTTCTATGTATTACTCTTCTGCTAATAATATGCTCTGTCATTAAAAATGATTCCTAACTGCTGGGAGGAAAGCTCTGTTGACCTTCAGGGAAATTCAGATCCAGACCTGGACTTTGCAGCTAACTGGACTTCTAAATTCCAAGTAAAGCAAAGTGAAAAAAACCAATGCTTAAAAGCATGTGATGGGAATAAAAAGGAGCACATCTATCTGAATGTGAAACACAGTACTTCTTCCAAGAAACAGATGATGAGAAGACAAAGAACAGAGGAGAACAAGAACAAAGGTAAAGTCTATTAATAATGGGAAAGATGTATGCATTGCTGCATAAACAGTCTAACAGATTTCATGTCTGAATTAGAGATTTGCATTTGTATGCTAAAAATATTTTTTTCTGTCCTGCTGTTTGAAGTTGGGAAGGATGGGCAGTTCAAGACAGGTTAAAGTTGGAGACTTGCAGCTCCAACAGAGTAAGTAATGTGTGGTCTAATCATTTCTGTTGATGCCGTATCAAAACAGTCATTATGTCTGGACTTCTCTTCAGACGTAATCCTGAGTTGTGACTGATCAATAAGCCCCTACAATAGGAGAAGGCTCAAAGGAGATGGGCAAGTGCAGTGTGCTCATGAAGTGTGCAGTGACTGAACGTGGCTGCCAGAAACAAAATTCAACTTTTGAAAAGAAATTGAAAAATTGAACTGAGGGGACCAGAGAGGTACCATTTTGTAGATTAACCGTTGTATCAGTTGGGTGGATCAGCTGGTTGTGCAAATTTTTGTCCACCAGTTAATTGAAAGAGTGAGACTATCTTCCTGCATTAGCCAGACCAGTATGGGGGGAGTGTATACGTGGCTCAGCCTAACACAGAGTGCAATCACTGAACAACTGGCAAAAAGAGCTTTGAAGAGAGCAACAGGCTTGAGCTGCTTAAACCCACATATTCCTGCCCAGTGCTACCCAGCATTCATTGTGATGGTGAGCATATCACAGAGCCTGGCAATGAGAATCACGTCTGTATCATGATCGATCTGTGTATTGAAATCGCTGTATTCTGCTAAGTGTAATTTGCACTTGTGCTTTCGGCACATAGCTGTATCATTCTGCTAAACTGGAATCCCGTGCAGCATCACGTGTCTTCAAATAAGTAAATTTTATATTAAACATTAAATTATCCGTGTGTAGAATATCAAGAAGAACCCGGTCAGAGAGTATTGGGCTCTGACGTGAGTGCAAGCTGAGGTAAATAGACACCGCAGTTCAATGCAAGTTGTATTTTTAGAGCTGATCCCATTTAGAAAGCCTCACATTTCTCCCATTTATGTTCTTTTTCTTTTTGTTAGATTCTCCTGTTTCATGTGCTACTTGCTGGATTATTGCAGTGATTCTAGGGATCCTCTTCTTGGCATCGCTGGGGACAACAGTGGGGTTTATTATCAAGGGTAAACAAATCTCCTTCATATTTTAATTTACAGCTTTGTCAGGGAGCAAAACAGAGGTCTTGAAACCTGCACAGGTGTCCAAGAAAAGCCTGGAAGTACATTTTTTTCTCTTAAAAAATACTTCTTTTTTTCTGAGATTTTTAAATGTTAAGCTTGGTCTAGTTAGACCTGCCCTCAGCA